ATTGACCTATCCGATCAACCAATTTTAACTGGTTCATTAGTAACCAGTTCGTTCAAAGGAATCCAACCGTTTAATTGACCAATTCTAGATTCAACACCCAATTTAACCTACTTTTTAAAATAATAGTAGTTGATATTATTTTTATTTTTATTTTTTTAAAATATTAACCTCTACAGTTATATTCTTACTTTTTATCAACCACTATAATCATAACAAAACTAAATGATGATTTTTTAAATATATTTATCATTTAATTAAAAATAAATGAAATATAAAAAACATTGTATTGCAATTAATTTTTATAATATAATAATAACATAAATTTAAATTTATTTGAATTTATATGTATATATATAATATATTTAAATTTATATTTTTGTTATAATAAAAAAGTATATAAATATTTGTTAACTTATTTAAAACATATATACAATTTACCAGCCCGATCAACCAGTTCTGGCCGGTTCATTGGAAACCAGCTCGTTCAAAGGAATCCAACCATTTAGTTGACCGATTCTAGATCCAACAGTAGTTTAACCAAATTTAGAAAATAATAGTAGTTGATATTATTTTTTAGTGTATTATTATTTTCACTTTTAAAATTTTATTAACCTCTAAAATTATATTTTTATTTTTTATCAACCACTATAATTATAAAAAAATTAAATAATTATTTTTTAAATATATTTATTATTTAATTAGAATTACTTTAAATACAAAAAATATAATAATATAAATTCAAATATATTTGAATTTATATATATCAAGTATTTTTATATTTATATTTTGTTATATTAAAAGTAAAAATATTTATAAACTTATTTAAAAAATATATTTATAATTGACCAGTCTATACAACTAATTCTGATTGGTTCACTGAAAACCAATTCGTTCAGAGGAATCAAACATGTTAGTTGACTGATTTTCGATTCAACATCAAGTTTGGCCGAGTTTTCAAAACAACAATAGTTGATATTATTTTAATTTGATTTTTAAAATTTTATTAACCTATACAGTTCTATATTTCTAATAAAATTAGATAATTATTTTTTAAATATATTTATTATTTGACTAAAATTATTTTTTAATACAAAAAACATTGTAGTTTAATTATCTTTTTTTTTTTTGTCTCAAAACCAACTTTTACTATCAAAGATTGTTATATACTCACGAAATAAAATTGCAACAAAAATAGTAAAACAACTATTTTTTCATCATTTGAGACTAAATTTGGATGCAACACATACCAATCTTATGAGATTATATTTGCAATTTACTCTTTTTTTTTTTCAAACCAAAGTTAATTTTTTACGGTGTGGGACCAATTTCACAAAAAAAAAAAAGTTAAGTACTAAATTGCGTCCCTCTGGACTAAAATTGCGACCGTCTCAAACTAATGGGACCAATTTTGCAATTTCATCTAAGTATAAATATAAAATTTATATTGTTTAATTAATTAAAATAAATTTATTTTAGTATAATAATCAGAATATCATTAACTAAAATAAATTTATGTTTGTATACTAATAAAATATTTTAATGATATAAAAATTTTACCATTCGTAACACCAGTCAGAGTCATTCGAACAAATGACATCTCAACTCATTTAGTTGAAACTACACGTTTGTTACATTGCTTCCCAATGAAACTATAATCTTCACCTATCGTAATGTTTGTATTAAATTAATAAAGTAACACAAATAAAGAACATAATATATGTACATAGAGGTGTATATAACACTTCACATGGGGTGGTGTCCACTTAATTTCTTATTTTTGTTGGGTATTGTGAGTATTATGTACAATATTATGTACATATAACATTTCTCATCTTGATTTTCTTAAATTAAATATCAATGTATATCACAATAAAATTAGTTATTTGCAAATGCATAATTTTAACTTAATAAAAAGACATTGTCCCTGAGTTCAATACCAAAATCTTTACTCAATCAGTAAGTCCATAATGTTAAAGCAAGGATATCTCATCCAACTTGAAATCGGTAAATAAACCCATATAAAGAGAGTGCATATATTTGGATTGATCTCAATTCCTATATTAGTGAATCTTATACTCAATTCTAAATACATACCAAAAAAAANNNACCAAAAATAAAAATATTCACATAACTTTATAACAAAAATAGATTTATTAATTTTGTCAATTTCATGATTAATTAATTTGTAGAGGAGGGAATTTTTAAAATTTTCAAAAAAATTACCAAGTTTAGTAATTTTAAAAATTTAGGCGGGATTTTTACTTCTATTTCCGGTAAATGTCAAACCTTTTTATATTTATATAGATTTTTAATTTGGTGATAAAATCTAAGGGAGTATTGTAATTATTCTCAATTACTGAACCCAAGAATTTCATCATAAACAATGGACTTTATTTATTATACTTAAATGCAAGTAAGTGGTCAATTATTTTGACATTAAATAAATATTGTTAAAGACAACTTAACTATATTAATTAATGCATATGTTAAGAGAAAATAGCTCTTGAACCAGCTACTTTACTTTATATATATATATATATATATATATATATATATATTGCCACAAATTTGCATTAACACACACACACCCATGTGAATGGGTGTGGAATTTGTGACCAAAATTCCATGGGGTATGTGTATTGTGTAGGATCGACTTTATTTAACTTGAAAATAATTTTAAATTTAATAATTTTATTTATTACAAATATATTATTTTTTAAATTAATTACCTATTAACTATGTTTATGTGAGTGAGCAAGTATAACACGTATGGCTGTCTTTCCAAATAAAAATGCCAAACTCTTTATGTCAATTATAATTAATTTATTAATTTATATACACATATTATCATCTTTACGTGAGATGTGATTATATAAATCCTGATTAAGATTGACACTACTGTCACAAAAAAAATATTTTATACGTACTCAACCAACAAATGTTCAAAAAAATACCTCCCCTTTTTGTGTCAATCAAAAAATTGACGAACGCATTGCCACAATTGACTCTTAAACTTTTTCTAATTAGGATGTACGAAAGGGTTACAACCCTTGGAGGAAACGTGATTCACTTTATTGAGTGCATCTTTCATGATTCGGAAGTGCGTATATTGTAAAATATTATTAGTCTAGCTATCTAATGTGCTATTCGTATTTATTGTTCAATATTATTAATCTAGCTATCTAATGTGCTATCTATATATATATAATTACTAGCTAATAGCATTTAATAAAACTTATTTAATTTTACCTATGTGGCAATTTAACCATTTCCCTCCAAAAACCGTTACTTTTGATGTATTTAATATTTCATTTAATTATTAAATAATCAATACTAATCACTTCAAAATTACAAAAATCATTTTAAACTTTTGATTACTGACAGTTGACCGTATAATGTGATTAGATGTTATTATTGTGGTTACATTAAGTTTATTTTTTTTTTAAATAAAAAATTTATTTGAAATTCCTAAATAAATAATAAATAAATCACAAAAAAAGACGTACCCAAATATACATTACATACAATCAGATAAACGCAATTTAAAAAAGAAAAATAAATATTCCAACTTCTTTAATTGTAAATTTGGCCTGAGAAAAGTGAAAGAAAAATAATTAATCATTATATGCATATAAATAACTCACAATACTTTATTTACATCTGTGCAAATGCACAGGGTCTAATACTAGTTGATATTAAATCTAGCAATATATAAATTTTTCCTTTTTTTTAAAAAAAAAAAATTTGATATGTTTATGGTGTGTGGTTCACAAAAATTGCTATTTTAATCATACACATTAGTTTCATATACACGCATATAATACAGAAGGTTTCATCATACACACCCACATTAATTTCACAAAATTGTTTTTTTTTATATGTTGCATATGAAATTTAAATACTTTTTATGTGTTCGTAGGGATCGGAGAACGGATTCAAGGTACTATAAAACAAAAGGATATAGATATCAACAAGACTCTTGTAGAAAGAAAAATTTATCCTATAAAAAATTACAACTTTGAGGAGTGGCAAGGTCAGTCACTAACACATGTCGGCCTGTTTTTAAAAAATCCTGTATTCAGTCACGGACAGTTGTATGTGGTCGTATCACGTGTAACCAATCGTAATGGTTTAAAAATCTTAGTGCGTGGAGATCAAGTTTCTAAAACTCAGACCGAAAATGTTGTGTATAAGAAATTTTTAATAATATCTAAATATAATGAGTTTGACTTACTTTTTTTTTTTTTTTTATAATTAATAGCTTCTTACAATAGGTTGTCTTTGAACTATACGTGATATTTGAAATATATGTGATATGTTATCTCTTTTTGATCTGCAAATACCTTTAAAATTCATGTGGGCATCAGTTACCGCTTGCGATTTCCTATGTGATGGTTGATGAGTTTTAAAATAGTCAATGACTCTTAGTAACATACACGTCGGCCTATTATGTTTTAATAAATGAAAAACTCTATTTTGTGCTATCTGACGCAACAG